ATATGCCGTAGTGACGATATACATGTGCGTGTACGGAAAAAACATGATGCATAAATATTGATTAGTAGGAGTAAACTTCAAGATCTCTGCACATGCGTATATTTCACTTTAGCGCTCTTCGAAACTTAGCTCCGCCCACTTGCGTTTTATAATATAAAACGTCCAGTTTATATAAAATCTGTTCTATTAAGATTTGAAACCTGAAAATTTGAAAAATCCTCGTCGGTGATTGGCTTAAAAAAATTGGCGAGCACTAATTCAATCTTAGAGACAACTATTCGAAAAACACCTTTTTATGATGAAATGGAAATTATATCAATAACCAATATAAATTTTTCTCTAAAATCTCTTTTATACAAAGTAAAAACGACTGGTCGCACAGAAAAAGTATTTGTATTTTCTGATCGCAGATCAGGAAATACAATGCTGACATTCAATATCTTCCGGACGATCCAAACAACAAGTAGTAGTTATCAAAACAGCTCAAAGCTAGCGATGTAAAGGGAAGAAATACATGTATTTTTATTCTGTTACAAGTATCCAACGAATTATAACGCATTCAACGTTTAAAAGGAGCTTTGGCTAAAGGAATTGTCAATCAATGCACAATCACAAATTACGCGGATGAATATCATTTTAATCAATGAAAATTGCTCGGCTATTTTCGTAAAGCTTCGGATTATTGTGACCGCCTAAATGAACATTTGTTTTTTAGACTTTCTGAAAAATAAAGTAAGGATGTTGACCCTAGGACAGGGGCAAAGTTAGGGCAGTCCACGATCGATAATCAATTTCTTACATAAGTTAGGGTCTTATAAATTAAGAACCCGATAATTAAATCCACGTAAACAAAGCGCTGTTTTGAGCAAACACTTTTAACAGCACGTATTACACATATAAACCTGACTGTCGAGTAGTGAAAAATTATATATATGTCGGACTGTTTTGGCGAGAAGATTTTAATTATTAACATCAGTGTTAAACAACAGGTTAACCGTGAACAAAATATTTCGAAATTAATAATGGAAATGCTAAATTTAGAATCATTTGATTTACTTTAGATTTACTTTATAACTTCCCTGTGGCCTAGGGACAACACATTCGTTTAGGAAGTCAGAGGTCTGGGGTTTCAATCCCAGTTAAAGCAGCTATTGTTTTGTTTTTTAGTGTCTTTTTAGCGCTTTTAACAATCTTTCTTAAATTCTCAGCCACGATATGCAATGATAAAGTGTGGCTGTCATAAAAATGTACATAAATGATTTCAATAATGCAAGTTTAAAACTCTGGCAATGCAAAATTCCGTATGTATTAAACTCAAACTGTTATAGCAAAAAATCTAAATGCATTCGCTGCAACTCGGTGCCCTGCAAGATGAATTATATATCAAAATAAACATATACAGGACAAGGCAGTCTGAAGGACAGCTAAATTCCCTTCCGCAGTGAACCTTTTACCAGCCACGACCTTAATATTATGCCATGCGTATCATAAGCACATAGTCTCATGATGGTGATTATTTGTGCCATGTTTTTTGAAATCTTCCATAAAGTAAACATGTTATGGAGAACATATAACCTTGGCCACATGAGTGTGGATTGTGTGATGGTGATGATAATTTGTGCCAAGTAATTTTAAAACCTTTGATTTGTCAATAAGTTATAGACCAGACATGAAAAAATATGAAGATGATATTTACATTGGGCCTTTGAGTGTGACCCTGACCTTCAGGGTTGTGACTTGATTATTGTGCTCTGCCAATGGTGTCATAATGGTGATCTTTTCTACCAAGTTATCTTAGTGCTCGCCAATTTTTTTAAGCCAATCACCGACGAGGATTTTTCAAATTTTCAGGTTTCAAATCTTAATAGAACAGATTTTATATAAACTGGACGTTTTATATTATAAAACGCAAGTGGGCGGAGCTAAGTTTCGAAGAGCGCTAAAGTGAAATATACGCATGTGCAGAGATCTTGAAGTTTACTCCTACTAATCAATTTTTATGCATCATGTTTTTTCCGTACACGCACATGTATATCGTCACTACGGCATATAGGTATAATTAAAAAAAGAGGTTCATTGAAATGAAAACAGGCAAAATAACAGTAAAAAATGTTTTATTACTTACGGAACCAGTATCATTTTATAATTTCCAAATAAAAAGTTCTCTTTATTCCAACAAAGTATGTATGTAATATTTCATACTTTTTATGTAAATATTACAGCCCGTGTCGCTGCAAAACTGAAAGTAGGATGTTTTTATGAATTTTACATTTATTTTTGAGACTATACTGCCATTTGTCCGTAGATGACATGTATATGAACATAATAAATATGTATGATGCATATATAATCAAGCCACAGGTTCATTTCAGCCCGAAAAATATGTCGAGGTGACGGGCGAGGCAAGACATGTCGACTTTTTGTAGCTTATTGTGAAGTTGCAGTACATGAAAATCGGGCACATGACAATTCAGCACATAAATAAAACATTCTAGTGTTCCGTGGTATACATCTTTTATACGTGTCATACCTCCTTTCCTTATTACAATGAAACTTTACTGCATTATTATCCATCGCTGGTTTGTTTTTGCAGAGAATGACCTGTGCATGTTCAAAGAGGGTACCGTTTGAGAATATTTCGCAAAGAGGGTACCGATATGGATATGCACCGTGATATTGTCTGATTTACCTACACTGAATGCGGAAATTAGCTATGCAAAACACGTGACCCGAAAATGTGTACCGCTACCTCTTCCAAATATGGTTATACATATTTAGGCTATCGTGTGACGTCACGCAGTGTGTTGGGCGGAGCACTAAGCCGGTTAGAGTGCATATTGGATGTTCTTCGTAAATAAGAAAGCTACAGTCGCTTCGCAAGCTCCGCTCCTTTTTAGCTTTCTTATTTACGAAGAACACCCAATATGCACTCTAACCTATACTTAACAAAAGGGCCATGATGGGTTTGAAATCGCTCATCTGTATATAGGCCTTTGGACAAAGGCCAATTTTAAATCAAGGTTTTTAATAAGAAGGTTTTTTAAGTTTTGACTATATACATAAAGGGAAAACAATGACCCTCCCCCCCGGAGGGGCCAATTTCGACCCTTGGGTTTTAATTTGAACAAACTTGTTAGACACTCACTAGAAGATATTTCTTGTTCTGTATCTAAACTCTAGCTCTTTGGGTTTTTTTTAAAGAAGATTTTTTAAGTTTTTACTATACACAAAAAAGGAAAATTTTTCTTTCGGTTGCCATGGCAACCAGAGTTCTGCTTGGAATTAAATATTTTGAACAAATTTTAAAGTTAACTACCAAAGAAACATTCCTGTGAAGTTTGGATGAAATTGGCTAAGCGGTTTATTAGGAGATGTCGTTTAAAGTAAAAGTTAGACTTTTTATTATGAAATGAAGAGTTTTTAACATTTGACCTTCAAGTGTGACCTTTACCTTGGGGGTAGCAACCCAATTATTGCGCACTGCACATCGTCTCATTATGGTGGTTACTTGTGTCAAGTTATGTTTTAAAAAAAATCTGTGGTTTAAATGTTATGGAGCGGACACGAAATGTAGACTTTTATTATAAAATGAAGAGCTTTTAACATTTCACCTTTAAGTGTGACCTTGACCTTGAGGGTAGCAACCCAATTATTACGCTCTGCACATCGACTCATTATGGTGATTACTTGTGCCAATTTATTTAAAAGAAAATTCAGTGGTTTAAACGTTATGGAGCGGACACGAAAGTGTTACGGACGGTCAGACGGACGTTCTCACAGGACAGTAATTATGTGGCTACTCTATTGTTCTCTCTCTATTGTTCTTTTTATCCACGCAAAAGAAAAAAGTCACATAAAAGCATTACGGAATGAATGACATCAAAGAGAAAGAACAGTTACCTATTGTCCCTTTAGCCACATAATTACTCTCCTGTGAGTGCGGAAGGACAGACGGACGAATGGACTGACAGACGGAGGCCTTCCTATAATCCCCTTTCCACTATGCGGAAGGGGATTAAAAATACATACAGACATACAGTATGATTTAGATTACAAAGATCAGAAAATACCACAGAGCTTGCAGCCCTTTGATTAAAATACACCCATTTTATAAAATAGGAATAAACGACCCGTGACACTAGTAATTTTCCCCTTTATGTTACAGTCGAATATAGATTGTTTCTCGAAGCAAAACATGCCAATTTTTTATTTAATCGCTATATTTTCCCCCTGAAATGCCCTGTGAACGTTTACCAAACGAACCGTTACTTAAAATCAGCTATTTCAGATCAGCTTGTTGATAAAATTTTATGTTTATGTAATGGATTGGAAGAAAGATTATAGAAAGCCATGCTATGTACCAAGCAAGCTAGATTGAAATTAATTTGGAAGTTTAATCAAATAAGTGGCTATGTTTCATTATCTGTTGTTGGTGTTTGATTTTAGCTTCTCCCATTTTACTGGTTTATTGTGTTATAGTTTTCCAGCAAGTCACAGACTGTTTTCAAATTTAAAAAAAAAATGGTGATCATTACCAATAAATCATTACATTATGCTACATTTTGAAAAGGCCTTACCTGTTAATAGAATAAATTGCCAATACATAAACAATTATACTCATGACATTAAATGTTAGTCACATACTTGATTCTTTATGTTTCTATTAACACTTAGTCTTCAGATCGATTATTGGTGTAAGGGGTCCAATACCCAATCTTGTGTTTTCCATATGAAAATCTCATATTGCATACGATGTGGGACTGCAAATATGGTAAAGGCAGCCACATACCAAAGTTACTCTTGAATAAGTTGAAGGGGATGGAAAACTAGGTTACAATTAGTAATATCAAGGTTAAAATAAATTAGTTTAAATGATAAGGTTTAGACAAAAGAGGAGCTACGGTTTTCTACGTAGAAGTTCATTGGTTTATACTATGAATAAAACAAAATATAGTTCATTGATAAGGACCCGTATAATATAGGAACTGTTGACTTAATTTCATTTATTGGCATCAACAGTCGAATTGTGTAAGCTATTCCATAGACAACTTAAAGAGGGACAGAAAAGATGAAAGGGATTCTTTGTTTCTTTTTGATATTGGTACGTAATTAAACATTGTAATATGCTATTAATTGTATCCTTAATTAGCAAAACCTTTAGAAATAATTTTAAATTAAATGAGAAATTCATTTTCATATTTTCTTAAGTTAGATATTTTCTCTTTTTTTCTTCCAAAAAACTTTTTATCATTTACTTTTTTCAAAAACCATTTATGTCCTTTTAAAGTCTTTAAAAAGTTACCCATTAGCCATTTTACATGAGTCATCTTTTGTCCTCTGGTATTTAGTACAGTAACATTAAATTGTTATTTTTGTAAAGAAGTCAAATAGTATTACCTTTTTACATTTTGCTACCTTTATTATCACAAATTGTTTCATATTCAACGATATTGTCATCACGTGATAAGCATCACATATGTTCTAATTTCATTATTATAATACCATTAAAATCATTTTTGCACTTTCTACAGAATGTAGAATTTATTCATTTCTGATGCATAATGTGCCTTTAAGTAACTTTATATCTTTAACTTAACGTGCAATCGATGTATTTAACATATGTTTGGATCAAATCGCTAGATTGTACAAATGTGTTATTTTTACCTTATCAAATGGTGCAATTATTACTAATTGTGTGTAGGCCTATGATTCGTGCTTGATAATGGTAATGGAAATGCTAAATTCATTTTTCCTTTTATGTGTATTTTATTTAACCATTCCATGATATCCTTTCAACGATCAAATAATTGTAATAAAACGTTATTGCAATGGCAGCACCTTTTACTTTCGATGATTAGATATTTATGTCCTGTGTGAAATGTGGTTCCCATATTGAATCATGTACATTGCATAATACAGGAAGTCACGTTATCAAATCAATGACGTAATTTGAACACGACTATGTCCATTTAAAAACGTTATATATTCCATGATATTGCGGCAAAATAATTGACTTCCAACGTCAGCACATGTTTTAAGCAGTTACGTGTCCATTGCCTTTTCTGGCGAAACGTTCTATTTTTCATAATGTCAACTATTTAATGCAGGAAAGAAAGCCAAAGCTATGTATGCTCTTGGCACATAACCTATTTACATAACCATACTGACTTGCACATGACGTAAAGTCCTGGAGTCACGTGCTCTGATTTATATTGTATTGTCAAGATTAAAAGTCCCTCATTTAGTGCTCATTCAGACTGAGAGGCTACACTTTGAAATTGGGGGTCTCTAGAAAATGCTTAAAATTGTGTTGGATGCTTTAAGAATACATATTTTGCTATGAATTTCTTTCATATCTTTGTTGCACTGGTTGTAGTTTGTTTTTATGTAATTCGATTCTTTAAAAAGAAAAACATTTATCAATGGTTTTTGTGTTATAAATGCAATAGAAGTTCGATAGAAATTTGACTTCATATCTTTTTCAGACTATATTAGCCAATAGCTTAGATTATTTCCTTTTGATACATTTACAGATCGCTAAATGTGCTACTTCAACAAGCCAGCAATGCAGTGCATGTAAGCAGGTTTGATTTGCTAAAGAAGAGATATTTTAATCATAAAATTTAATTTAAGATGCATTGTTTAAATCTGCACAAATATATCTGGTTATTTAAATATACCCCACCGCACTAAAATAATAATTGATTTAACACGTCCAGTCTTTTTATTTCTTTTATCAAATTAGTTATAAAACATGTTGAAAGTTGAAGATGAAACAAGATTCCTTGATGAGCAAATTCTAAGATTTAATATTTCTAGAAAAAAGAGACAAACAGAGTTGCCCTTCCTTTCAATTTCAAAATATTCACAATAGTGTAACACAATTAAAACAGATATCACATAAATGTCAAAATATATAAATTTCAGCTTCTGTCGGAAAAAGGTTTGTGTTCGGTATCATCGGTTTTGACAGCATTTACACTGGTTCATATTTACGCTTACACATCACTCCTACTGAACAAGTACAAGCACACGTCCAGATTAATGCACCGTCTTCAAATTTGGATAAAATCATAAACGTCTCAAATTATACCATTTTTGTTTTAAATTTAACTCAAGTTCAGTTTGAAGAAGGAAAAAAATTTAAAGGAATTGAAGTCATATCTGATGTGAATGTATCAGTACGCATCCTCGCTGGCGACGACTATTATTACGAAGGGTTCCTTGCTCTACCATTGACCGCGCTTGGTACTCATTATGTTGCTTTATCATACAAACCATACAGTTCATACAGCAGTGAAATTCTAGTTGTTGGGATTGAAAGCGAAACAAGTGTTTCTATATCTACAATGCTTAATGGTTATCAAGGTTCTAACACAACATTCCAATTGCAAAAATTCGAAAGTTACCAGTTCAAAGCGAATCATGACATCAGTGGAAGCGTCGTCGTTTCTTCTAAACCAGTAGCTGTCATCTCAGGATCAGCTTTGGCACAAGTCCCCTCCGGAATAGGAGATTATAAATACCTTATTGAACAGATGATCCCAACAAAATATTGGACAACAAAGTTTATAATTCCACCTATATATCCTCGTCTTTATTTCGTCCTGCGATTTTTTGCTGAACATAACAATACGGAAATACAGTATCACAACAGCACAAAACATTATGCTGTTTATTTGTCCAATAAGGATCAATGGAGGAGAATATTGTTTGCTAACTGACCCAAAGTTTTTGTCATAGCAAACCCAAACCTATTAGTAATGTCATGCAATAATGGCGTATGATGAGATTAATATGGCTGGTGCCCCCTCTTACATGTCAGATAACACCTCAAGGCATTCTTACAAATGTGTCACTCTTTATTATATTTGTTTCTCAAATATGGTTATACCTCAGGCTGATACTTTAGCTATAACAATAAACAAGAATAATGTTAGGCGACTTTATACAAAATGGACATTCTATGTCGTATTTTAACGCAAAAGAGAGTAAATGTTTCCTTCACCAACTGGATCAATATTCGTAACATTCATTCAGTTAACATTACATACAACGCGTATTACTCACTTTACACATCACAGTTGGAGGATTTGAAGTTTTTTGGAGCTGTGATATACGGAAATTTTTCCCCAATATGGGAAAACAAGCAATAGGGGAATACCCTCTTTAAACTACCCACTGTTTAAAAAACCCGGTATTTATCTTTTCTCCAGGAGGGGCCATAAAATTACTTTTTAAAATTTAAAAACGTTAGGGTCCCATTTGCTATCAGCATATGTAATGAAATCATTTTAATAAATAAACATATCTTTGGGTTTTTCTAAAAGTATTTTTTATTGGCAAAAAGTTTAAATATTTTTTTTCCGAAAAAAATTTCCCCTTTTTGAACCAATTTTTTTTAAAAAGAAATTTCGAGCCCTTTTTGCGGGGTCGGGGTTGAACTTTGTTTTGTAAATTTAAAATTTACTCAGAAAAAAAAAATTATTTTTTTATTCCGGTAAATTTAGTTACCCCTCGGGTTTCCCCCCTTTTTTTTGGGTAACTTTGCCGCAATACTTTTTGATTTTGCCATCCCCGTCACTTTGGGAAAAGCCCCCATTTTCCCCTTTTCCCAGTACCAATTTTCCCTTTTTTTTTTTGTTTTTAACAAAAAAAATTTGTGTTTTTCTATCTTTGGGTTAAATTTTTTGAAAATTAAATTTTCTTGTTTTTTTTCGTCAGTTTACCTGGCGGGAATACCTCGATGTGGGACTGTATCAACGGGCTCAAACCAAATTTAAACTAAAACCAAAACGGGGTTTCCAAACCTGGGGGGTGAAAATTTATTTTTTGGAAGGGTTAAAAAGAAAAAACCCAAAGGGAAAAAATTATGGGGTTTACATTTAAAACATTGGTTGTTATAATTTCTTTATTTTTGGGTTTTTCCCGGGTATGAAACAAAGTGTGTTTAATAAATTGAAAAAATAAAATTTAAAATTTGTGGGGGGTTTGGTAACTTTTAATTACCCAACGAAAAAATTTTCTTAAAAAAAAAAGGCGGGGGGAAATTTAATCAACTTTTGGCCATGATAGGACTAGATTTTTGTTGTTTTTTTTTAAGGACGAAAACTGAATTTTTTGGCCCAGAATTGATTTCCCATATTTTTATAAAATTTTCAAATTTTTTTTGATATCAAAATTTTTTTAAAAAAATTAAACCAATTTTTAAATTGGGCCGGGGAAACGATTTCTAAAATTATATCAAAAGGGGAAAAAAAAAACGGGGTGTTTTCAATGTGACGGAAATGGCAATTTTAAGTTTTTCCCGACAACGTTTCAAAATGCCTGGATGAAGTGGGGAAATCTTTTTTCTAAAATTTAAGAAAGTTTGCAGGGAAATCTTTTTCTTTTTTAGACTAAGTACTAAAAAATTTAAAAATGTTTTTAAATCTTTTTTAAATTTTTTTGATAATTTTCAGTTTTAAAAATTTTTACCCAAAGAATACCTGGGGAAACCCGGTTTAGTTGTTTTTAAAAAAAAAAACCTTTTTAAATAAAAGGGTTTTTTTCATTTTAAAAAAACCATTAAGTTTTTCCCCCAGAAAAGAAAAGTTGGAAAATAAATTATCTAAAAATTTAAAACCATTCGAAAAAAATTTAAAAAGCAGCCAGCAAAAATTGCAAAATTGTTTCTAAAAATGGGGTTTGTTGGGCCTTTGGGTTGGTTTTTTCATTTTAAAGGTTTTTTAAGCCTTTTTTAAAAAGCCCAAAACGTAAGGCTTTTTCTGTTTCCTTTTTGGCCCCCTTTAAAGGGGTTTTTTCCAAATTTTTTAAAAAAGGTTTAAAAAAAGCCAAAAAAAAAAAAAATTAGAATTTTTAAAAATAAATTGAACTGGGGCGTTTTTTAAACAGGAAATAAAAGGGCCAAAAAAATAGTTAAAAGGGAAAAATATATTTTAAAAAAAATCAAAAAATCGTAGTTTTATGCTTTTCTAAGGCCAAATTTTTGATTTAAAAGCTTTTTAAACGCTTTTCTTTTTTGGATAAATTTTTTTAAAATTTTAATTTAAGTATTTTTTTGGGAAAAAAGAAGTGCGCGAATGTTTCTAAAAGGGTTTCCCCAAAAAGGGAGTCTTGGTTTTACACCTACATCAAATAGAACAAAAAAAATATTTCAGTCCCATCATTTTAAAAATTACCTCTGTGGATTTCCTTTAAGGTTACCTTGCGGGGGGGTTTTCCATTTATATTGATCCCTTAAAAAATTTTTAAAATTTTTTGGAGCAAATTATGTATTTTACTTTTGGGTATGAATTTTTAACCTTTTTTTTAAATATATTTTAAAAGGGTTTTTTTTGTCCAAAGCTACACACGGGGCCGACGGTTTCCCTCTGGGACAAAGGGCGGGCTGTTTTACACCCCAATTTTATGTTTTTTTTATTCAAAGCTATTTGCCCTTTTTTGGGAATTTTTTTTAAAAGGTTTATTGGGTTTTTAAAAGATTTTTAAAAACCCCATCTATTTATAAATTTTAAGGAAAAAATTTAAAAAAATTTTTATAACTTTCGGGGTTTAAATTTTAGGTTTTTTTCCCCTTTTCCTGCCAAAGAAGGCTTTATTTTTTAAAACCTTTTTTTTTAAATTTTTTGGCCCAATTTAAATTGCCAAAAAAAAATTTGGTTTTTTTTTAAAATTTTTGTGGTTTCTTAGTTTTTCTTTTTTTGAATTTATTTTTAAACCCGATAAAAAATTTTGTATTCACAAAATCTTTCACACAAATTTAAAGTTAGGGGATGGAAGTGGTGGATTTAACCCAAAAGTTTTTTAACGGGAAAATTTTTTTAACACCATTGGGAGTTTGGGGATGATTTGGAAGATAAATAATTTTATCTAGAATGTCAAATGTTGAAATATGATATACATGTATGTGGAAATGTAATTAGTTCGATTTATAAGTTTTGTTTCCTGAACATATAATGACAATAGGAAATACGATCATATGTGTTGCGAATTGTTTATTGTTTAACATTATTTGTATGTAAGAATTCCAGACTAAAAAAGATTGAATTATTGTAAAGATATAACATTAATTCATACGTAGACGACGCTTTCACTTTAATATATTTTTGCGGATACAAAACATTTATTAAGATATTTAAAAAGAACGAAAGCGTATCTGTATAACTCTGATAATAAATATAAAATAACTATATAGTTAAATGAGAAACTACCATTTACACTTGTGATGATTGCGTTTTGCGCACGAAACTAATTATTAAAGAAAATGTGTTATTCAATGTGTTGATTGAATATAAATCCATATATACAGCTCTGGGATACCATCGAGCACTCTGTCTAGGGTTTGTTACTGACTGTTAGTGTTATTGGATTTAGTTTAAATGTATATATATATATATATATATATATATATATATATATATATATATATATATATATATATATATATATATATATATATATATATATATATATATATATAAGTCATCTAATACATGTATATCTAGGGATAACAATTTAATAAGACACTTTGCTTTCCAGTCTAATCTTTTTTAAAGTATTTTGAAATGCCTTGTGTATATTGTAAATAGAGACATGCATATATATATGAGAAATAGAATACGAGTATATTTAAACTACTATAATTTATATAGTCAATGTATATATGATTTTCATATTTTATGTTTATTTTTGTTCACATTTATCTCCTGTTTTGTTAAATGTTATTTATATATTATTTCAAACATACAACGATTCTTTTTTTCATCTGTTTATATTTTGAAAATACCAAAATAGCATAACATGCATAAAAATATTAAAAGAATATATCAGGAAATTTTTTTCATATTAAAACCAAATTGTTCATATGTGAGCCATGATAAAACAAAGGTGTTTTTTGGCATTTTCATTGACGTTCTTCCCTTTGTGCAACAAAGGAAAGGCACTCAGAATGATATTTTGACAGTAAACTATACTGTTTAATATAAATGTTTGAAAATAACTCTTATTTGTAAAATTTGTGGCATTTTCAATAACATTCAGGATCAGTTTAACTTTAGTTTGTATGAAAATAAAAATACATATTCTAAGAAAAAGAACTTTATATATTGTGAATTTTTAAATTATCTGGAATCACAAGCTTGTCAACCTTGTTTTTTTGTATCAGGGTATCAATCATTATAGTTCGTTCTTCATATAGAATACATTACACGTGGTGAATTTTCTGACTGTAGGTTTCCCGGCACCTGGACACAGAGGTCCGATTTGTTTTGACTGTACTCATTTAGGAGACAGTGAGACGTGTAACACAGTACAGTTGTGCCGATCTAACCAGGTTAATATTTGCTTTCTTTTTGTCTTCTTTCAATATGAATAATGTCAATTTTAAATCATAATTTGATTAATTTGATGAATGGTGAATGTTGTCTATAATGTAAAATCTATTTAATTTTTACAATCTTTAAATGTATATTCGTAGTACATGTATTTCAAATGTACCTCATGTTTAAAGTCACGTGACGCTAAATTCTAGAGATAAAAATCGCAGATTTCGTTGAATTGTAAAAGATGTTCAATAGATAACTATAGAGAGAGGCAAGTCTTTGAACAAATGTTTATATTTTATTAAGATTTGCATGGTTGATGATTAACAAACATACAAATGTAAAACAGGTTTGCATGATAGAGAAGTACGAGTGGGGCGACAGTGACTCTCACTACATGAGAGCTTGTGCAGACTCTCAGGTAACATACGTTATAGTTACAGGTAACATACGTTATAGTTACAGGTAACATACGTTATAGTTATAGGTAACATACGTTATAGTTACAGGTAACATACGTTATAGTTACAGGTAACATACATTATAGTTGTAGGTAACATACGTTATAGTTGTAGGTAAAATACGTTATAGTTATAGGAAACATACGTTATAGTTGTAGGTAACATACGTTATAGTTACAGGTAACATACGTTATAGTTGTAGGTAACATACGTTATAGTTGTAGGTTAGATATTGTGTTATATTTACAGAATACATTTAGTATAGTTTCAGATAACATACGTTATAGATACAGGTAACATACGTTATAGTTACAGGTAACATACATTATATTTAAAGGTAACATATGTTATAGTTCCAGGAAACATTGTTATTATTAAAGCTATATGCATATCCTCCAAGCGCAGACGTTCGTTAAAGTTAGTTTAGAAAGAATGTGTGTGTACAGAAATTATCTGTGTAGAAACCAATAAATTTAATAAAATAGATGACGATCAGCTTTTCCAATATATTTCATTTAAAATCGAAAGTGACCGATCTGTTTCTTAAACTAAATAAATATATATAAGAATATATTTATATGTGAAATTTTAAATGCAGACATGTTCAAAGAAGAGGTCAACCAATGAATTGTCAGCTCGTCACGCCCCCGTCTGCTCGCACTGTTGTCATTCTGATTTCTGTAATGACAACTGTACATCAATCCACGTGTCTGAAATAATTGGTACGTTGGTGGTTTTTAAACAAAGTTCAGTTACCTACCCATACTTCTGTCTTTCCAAGTTTGAGATTTTATATAATTGGTCAATGATGTTATCATATACAACAGACTGTTAATGTTTTTTATGTCTTTGCTATATAAATTATCTTCCTTATAAAGAAAAAATTTGCTTCCGTCAAAAACTTTAAATTCTGAGGTTATTAATTATCTACGCGGATATTATCCGTGTTTAATCTATCTTCCTGTTTTACTTCATATTGAACACTGCTTTATTGGATTTCTTTTAATATTTCAGGCTAACAGATGTGAATTTTGCTGTAAAACATGTTACAAATAAAAAAAAAGTAACCATGCTAGATATTTGTTTAATATTGATTTAAATGTTTGTACTTTATTGTGATTTCGAAACAAACATGACAATAACTCATAGTCTGTTATACCATATAGATAATTATGTTGATTATTTTTTGTATCATTCACGATAACAAACCAAGAAAAAATCATAATTCATATGGACGGCGTTGGTAAGTTTTAGTTACATGCCAACATTACAGAAAATATATATTGTTCTAGAACTTAAAATTCTTTTTCATCAAGTTAATTTTCTCTCTTAATCAATTCTCAAGAAATGTCTTTTAAGCATTCTATGATACATTTTTATTTATTTTTTAACAATATTTGAAATACTGATGGAAAATGTACAAAATTTGTACCAATCAGTTGACTAAAATTATATATGCATAATGCCGAGAACCAACAAATTGCTGAAATAAGTACAGTTTTAGATAAATGCCTCACGCATCAATTGTTTGAAATATAAGCAGTACCATATACTAAAATTTACTAAAGAATCTCTCCAATATTTAATATGGAAACGGGCAAAAGCCCTCCCGGACTTTAACTTTCCCGTCTAAAAAAAATGACAGGGCGGACAAAAGCCCTCCCATGAGAATGACAGGGCGGACAAAAGCCTTTGACAGTTGACTTACCGGCTCTTCAAAAGAATCTATTAATCTTTGAATGCTCGCACACAAGAGTCCCTGTTGTTTAGCCCGAATCATCAAAGAAACTTAATAAAATATTGAAAGCTGGAATGAGTGTTCATCTGTTGAAAATATTCAAGGATTCATTTTTAAAGATCTTTTATGAACACGAGTAATGATTGAGAAAGTACTTTGCTGATAGACGACTAAAATACATTAAGTGGAGATGCAACATGACATGGAAATTGCTTGATGACTCGTCGCATTGATTTGCTGACCACTAAGAATATTTCTCCGAGAATCTGGCGGGTCTTTCCAATAAGGGAATTGGATTGAGATGAAATTGTACACTCAATGTCTATTTCGCCTTTTCTGCACGGCAAAGTCATTATCTGCAACAATCAAATGATAATTAATATGACATTGGAACTGTGTATGTCTTTCATCGATTTGTGAAAAAAAATACATGAATCTGTAACTTGTCTAGAGCATAATTTTACTGCGGTCGCCCTGCTCATAGAATAAAAATCACAGCGCGCAAAATACGCCGTCAATGCTTGGGATATAGATTAGCCAAGAATGGACCCTGAACCAGGCACTTTCGTAACTTTCCTTTACCGAATGAATTTACTGACGTTTATATATGAACTATTCACGACAATTTTATTTGTTGAAAACATTTAGAATTATGCACTGAAAATATGTCACGAACGAATTAAGCTATAGATTCAAAGATTCAAAATATTTTATTTCCTAGCGTAGACATGCATATGTTTCTTTCTACAAAAACAGATAAATACAATGAAACTTTTCAACATGACGTAACTTTGCAGACAATTATATCATCAAAAGATGTGAATATACATGTATATACATGTAGTTAAACAAGAGAGAAAGGTGAAGATAGAAAACAAAAATGTTAAACTAATGAAGAAATTGTATATCATTTGGCTAAATTTCAGTCAAAATGTATCAAATCAAAGACATTTATAAAATAAAATTAAATATACATCTGTAGCTCTGTGATCAAATGTCACATATAAAATTGTTGAAATATAAATAGACATGTTAAATACGTGTAATGTTTTAAATGAAATGACCATAATATTGTTAATTTAATTTTGTTTTTAATGTTACATCAACACAATTAAAGGACGAAGTTCTCGACTAAGAGGGGGCGTCCGTGGTCGAGTGGTTAAGGTCGTTGACTTCAAACCACTTGCCTCTCACCGCTGTGGGTTCGAATCCCGACAGGGATTTAGGATTCTTTCATGTGAGGAAGCTATCCAGCTAGCTTACGGAACGTCGGTGGTTCTACTCAGGTGCCCGTTCGTGCCTGAAATAATGCACTGAAGTGCACCTGAGGTCTTCCTCCACCAGTAAAGCTGGAACGTCGCGATATGACCTATACTGTGTCGATGTGACGTAAAACCCAAAACAAACAAACAAACAAAATTCTCGACTAAGCGCAAAATAACAAACCCATTAATATTAATGAAGAGATTAAAAGCCATGTCTCACCCCTTTCCCACACCAGGATCTTTCAAACATATTTGAAAGACCTTGCCCACACCAACGCCCAAAATGACTTTATTCAGAAGTTCAGAACAATACTGTTATCATATTTTACAATAATCAGGCATTGATTGCATTTTTCCTAAACTGTTGAAAGTTTGATATTCTTCCATTTATGTCAAAGTCATATAGGATATTCAAGTTTCTTCTATAAATACAGGATTTACTTTCATCGATAGGTATGAAAATAAATATTTCACGAGAGGCAGTATAGCCACTAGTGAATAATGATAATTTTCATACCACAATATGAAAATAAATCCTACATGTATATTAATAGAAATAACTTAATTTTCTGTTTTTATATACTTTTTCTCTTTTTCAATCTTCTGAATAGGAATTATGTGTACTGGCTGAATTTAGAAGAACGTAGCCCGGCAAAACAGCATTGAAAATCCGGGAAATATGTTCCTAAATTAAATTTTTACAATGAAAATATGGAAAATGACATCAATATTTCCATGGAGCTAAATATAATTATGTATCTGTGATATTTCTCAATATTTCATTTATAAGAATATAATGAAATTTAGTACAAAATTGGAAGAGTTGCAATATTTACATGAATATTTAATCAATTCTTTCTGATCGAATTTAGCGGTAGACATTTGTCAGTGTGCAACCCGGAGTAAAGCAATCATCACATATTATATCTTATTACGATGCGCCATTTAATGGATCCAAGGGTAAACAAATCCAAAACTTTGTAAAAAATGGTTGTATTTGAGGTCCATATGAAAAATTTCGTCTACTAAAATCAAATTTCGATTTCATCAGGTATAAGTTAATAAAATGCGCTAAGTAAATCAATGAAAACATAATTTGTTTGCAATCTACAATGTTCCAATTTGTGACTGCTTCAATATTGAACTGTCACTCACTCACCTGCTCACTGTTCAGTCTGTTGCCCGGTTGAAAGTGCTAAAAAAGTATCTTTCTCAAGTTTTTGTTCTTTTCGAGTGTTGCGCATTTGACAGTATTTGCATAGCATGCGTAACAGCTGTTAAACTGCTAAGAAAATCCAGAAACAAGCCAAAGGTTGTATGTATCTTTAAATCAAGGAATAGAAATTGTGTGTAAGCTATATGGAGGCTATACACGTGTGTCTTTTTATTTATCTTTTACGCATGAGTTACTATGTCGTGTACACAAGATAATAAGTCGTGGACACGAGATACTTTGTCATGGCCAAGAATTTCTAAGTCGTGTGCAGGAGATAATTAAGTGGTGCGCACAAGATACTATGTCGTGGCCAAGAGTTACTAAGTCCGTAAGTTGTGTGCACAAGATAATAAAGTGGTGTGCACAAGATACTATGTCCTGGCCACAAGTTACGAAGCCATGTGCACGAGATAATTATGTTGTGGCCAAGAGTTTTTAAGTTGTGGGGACAAGATAATTAATTTGTGGGCTTATGAGATACTATGTCGTGACCACAAGTTACTAAGTCAAGGATATGTTTCAGCAAAAAATATATTTTACAGTCAATATATTGTCTCTATTATTTGCCGCTCAGGAGAGACCAGATAAGACCAGATAGGACATATATATTCATTTTTATTTAAGTTGTCATGGAAATGATTTTGTAACAATGACATCATAACATGTCCACCAAATAAATAGTTAACAATAATTTAAAGTAAATTGCTGGTATGCTTTCAGAGAGCTCCTATTGAATCAATTTTTGATTGAGATATTTAGTAACAAAATATATTCTGAACTCTAATTATTTTTTGAAGAACTACAATTTTTTTTTTTTATTTTATTCGTTTAAACTGATTCAAACTAGAAACAGTGTTGCCAATTAATTTTCTGTGCGTAAAAATGACAGTTAAAATTAGGCATAACAGTTTGACAGTAGAAAAAACAAGAAACAGTCTGTAAGATGGGTCAAACTGATCATGCTTGATTTATTAGGCTAAACAAAATACTAGTACCTTCACTTAGTCCAACTAGAAACGGTTACCTGCCTGGTCAAAATACATACATTTATGTTTGTGTTGATATCTCAAATAAACTTACTGTCTTACTGATGCCTAACAATCAAATCACAAACTGTTAAGTTAATAGTTTACAAGACAATTTAGTCAGACCTTAATCTGAATACAGTTCTAAAGTGTCGTTTCTCCACATCAATACACAAATACTTCAAATGAAAAATGTTCAAAGAAGTGAAGCCCTGAACACCATGTTTGCAAGGGAATTGGCTCTGATGTGGCAGGGTTTTCATTACATGGTTTTTTTCCCTGGTTCCAAATTCAAATTTCCCATTTTTCTCCAAGCTTGTGGGAGGTTAGTCCTACTATTAAAATTGTTGAACTCTGTGTTGAGATATTGTGCAATTTAGTGTATGGGCAATAATCTCCCCTCTAGGATTCTGACCTGGAACAAAAATATCTCAGACTATAGTAGCTTTGGCTGCCATTAAATGGTATGACAAAATATTTTGACTACTAAGTATTAGGTATACCATGCCTTTTCATATTGTTTACTTACATGAACTACATTCATGAATAAAAGCCATGTTAAAATCCATTAACATACTCTTTATCCTTTTTATATATCTAGATATACATTATATAAATTGGAAAGGAATGGAAAAGACATTTCGCATTTGTAACTAATACAAACTAAAGCAAGGAAAGCCACATATTAGCCAATAGTTTAGGGATTTAGGAAGAAGGAACATTCTTTAAGATGTCCAAGCAGGCAGTTGTGAAACCAAAAACTACCTCTAAGAGCAAACCAGTGGCAAAAGAGGAAGCCAAAAGTCAGGTAAGAATAATTTTATATCAGGTTAATACTTCTATTACTTTAAATATAATACATATATATAGTCCAACATTGATTTTAATATTCAAATTGCCGTGGACTTTTAATTAGTTTGATAATTGATGGGTTTGAATTATCCAAATCTAAATAAAGTTATAGACAAAAACTACTTCCACAGGCTAATCATAGCAAAACTATTGTTTACATCAAACTTGTTACCAGAAAAATAAATTAACAAGAAGCATGTAATTGTAAGAAGCATGTAATTGGTGTGAAATTCTTAATAATAATTGTATAAAATCAAACCAAAGTTTTGCTTAATAAATGTAGGAAGTATGCTGACATTTAAAATAATACATATACATGTGAAAGCTCATGTTAAATGTCATTTCATACAGACTTGTATGTAACAATTTCATAAAAATTATACAACTTGCAACAGATTAGCTTTATATAGACTAAGTCAAAGTGTAGTCCAACCTCTGCCAAAAGGTTGCATGACAAGTATATAATATGTATGACAAGAAACCTCTTTACAATAACACGACTTCAAAATAAATATTACAAAATCTATAGCAACACCTCTCAGCAACAACTTTTGTCTCCCAAAGAATGATGTTCTGCATTGGTTGTGCTGTTTTAAAGTAAGATCTGTATCTAAGCTTAATAACAATGGGCCTAATCAATATATATATATATATATATGCCGCAATATGGTTTTTATCTGAAATAATGAAATTACAGTAGATAAAACCCTTTCCCATTACAAAATGTGCTAAAACACCAAATAATCTGATATTATGAAAGTTTAACTGTCAGTAGAAGATGAGAGCAGGGAATGGTTTATTATGAAACTTCCAGAAATAAGCAAATATTTGTTGGTCAAGTAGAGTCAGTAATTCTTAATTAAAACATTTCATAATTTATATACTTGTTATATTTTTCACAGCAAAAGGATGGGGCTCTTTATTTAAATTCAGGGAAACATAACAGTATTTTTACCAAAGAGCATGCATGCCATATCTCCCCGGGGGTCATTATTCCCCCGCTTTTAAGGCTTGTCCCTACATATCCAGCTGTGGGATAAAATTCCCCAGATTTGATAAATGAAAACAACTTGATTAAAAATTAATTTTAGGGGAAAACAGCATAAAATTGAAGATTTTTTTCTGGACAAGACACTTAAATGTATGAATGGCTCCTGCTAAAGGAGAGAGAAAAAAAGGCTCCTGATTTATGCTATGGTGATATTGAATTACAGGAGAATGGTACGGATAAAGATGAAGAGATAGCGAGACAGTTACAGGAGCAAATGTTACGAGAACAAGAGGAATCCGACGCTGATCTAGCTAGACGCTTACACGAGGAGGAACAAAGTAAACGTCTTGTAAGTCACAAAGTCATAGCTTGTTAGTCCCCTACCGGTTTACCGGAGGGTACTTTAGGTTTACCCTCCGTCCGTCTGTCCGTCAGTCCGTCTGTCCACAAAACTGGATCCCGCAATAACTCAAAAAGTACTGAAAATATTTTAATGAAACTTGATATATGGATAGATGGCAGTATGGAGATTATGCACGTCTTTTTCTTTTCTTCCTATGTTGAAAATTCTGGTTGCTATGGCAACAAATAGACTGAAAATATGGCAAATTTTACACATAACCTGGATCCCGCGATAACACAAAAAGTACTAAAAATATTTTTATGAAACTTGATTTATGGATAGATGGCAGTATGGAGATTATGCACATCGTTTTCTTTTCTTCCTATGTTGAAAATTCTGGTTGCTATGGCAACAAATAGACTGAAAATATGACAAATTTTACACATAACCTGGATCCAGTGATAACACAAAAAGTACTGAAAATATTTTTATGAAACTTGACATATGGGTAGATGGCAGTATGGAAATTATGCACATCCTTTTCTTATCTTCCTATGTTGAAAATTCTGGTTGCTATGGCAACAAATAAACTGAATTTCAAGATTTCTGATTCTAGTTTTTAAGTTATTTCACTATAAGTTCTTTATTTCTTAAGGTATTTTCTTCAAACTTTAAATATAAGTTGCTTGTCATCAACCACATCATATGTGACAAGGTTTACAACTCTAGCACAAAATTTATCAGAATTACCTCCCTTGAACTTAAAATTTTCATGAAAAAAAAATTGTTTTTTTTAATAACTTCTTTTTTTGAATGTATCTACTTCAAACTTCATATAAATGTTTCTTATTATCACTCAACATTTGTGAGTGTTCAATACTCTAGAAAGACTATTTCCAGAATTATGCCCCTTTTGAACTTAGACTCTTTTTTTTTGAGAAATTGGTAATTTTTACTCCAACTTCTTCAATCATGATAGGATTTTAAAAATGTTATATTTTGATAACAGGGATTTTTAAAAAATAACTTTAGAGTCTTCTTCAGTCTGTCTGTCTGAACATAAAAACTGTTTCCTGTGATAACTTTTGAATAACTTTTTTAACAAATTTACTTAAAATAGGAACATAAGTGAATGGCCAATGGCCCTTCAGAATGTTGCTTGGGCTCTTACCGGTAGGGGACTTATGGATTGCTTGCAATACTATGATAATTGCTTGTTTAATTGGGTTTTATGTCACACCAACACAGTATAGGTCATATGACAAGGTTCCAGCTTTACTGGTAGAGGAAGATCTCAGGTGCCCTTGCAATGGCTTCCATGCATTATTTCAGGCACGAACAGGCTCCTGAGTAGAACCATCAACATTCAGTATGCTAGCTGAATAGTTTCCTCACATGAAAGAATGCAAGGTTCCTGTTTGAATTCGAATCCACAGCGGTGAGGAAAGTTACTGAGTAGCCTGTTCATAAACCATACTCTTGTTGAGTCTTTCACCATGAAAGCTTAGAAAAATTATTATATTTTAATTAAAAAATAAATATTTTCACTATTGTATGACATTCTTTATTTTTGCAAAGATGATTCATTTAAGTATCCCCTACTTATAAATCTTACATTATTATCAAATATTAATCTTAAATATTTCAGAGGAGTTTTCATCCTCCACCAGGACGCCCCATGAGTGCCACGCCCATCAGACAACTGTTTCAGACCATGTTTAATCTAAGGCCAGAGGCTCTTGAGGTATGAATGTTTGTTAACATAATTTTTTTGTTAACATTTCTTTGATTTAAGTTAAGACATCACTGTGTGTAATATGGTAACAGAATGTTATCATTACTATATTACTAACAAGAATTTGGATTAAGGTTGTCATAGTGCAATGCTTTCCTGCCAAAAAATTCCTAATATTGGTCAATTAATTGGTCATTTCCGGAAAGTTATTTTTTACAATCTTCGGTATTCAATAATTTTTAACCATTTAATGTTGGAATTTAGAACATAGAGATATAGAATGAGTGATTGTGAATAACGTTCTAATGTCCAAGATTTGAAGGAGAAAAAATGTTTCGGAAATAACTTATTTGGTATGATATTGGCTGATGTAAGAATTTTTTTGGTAGGAAAGCATCACAGTAAGACTACCTTAACCTGATATCCAACATACATTGTCATCTGTTTAGCCTCTCATATGAGGTTTTCTACATTGTTTCTAAAATCATCTCCTCTTATACTACACGTAAAATTTGGTCTATTTTAAATAGTCTCCGCCCGTCCGTCCTTCCGTCCGACATTTTTGTCCAGAGCATATCTCTAAAAGTATTTGAGTAATCAACTTGAAACTTCATAGGTTGATAGACCTCATTGAGGAGGAGTGCAGTGCACAAGAATGATAACTCTACCCTGCATAATTTTTGAGTTATTGCCCTTTGTTATTTTTCAAAATTGATTTTTGTCCAGAGCATAACTCCAAAAGCCTATGAGATATCAACATGAAACTTCATGAGGTGCATAGATCTCACTCAGGAGGTGTGCAGTGCACAAGAATGATAACTCTACCTTTTATAATTTTTGAGTTATTGCCCTTTGTTATTTTTTATACTTAATTTTTCACCTGAGTGGAGCATAACTCAAAAAGTGTTTGACATATCAACATGAAATGTCATAGGTGGATAGATTTTATTGAGGAGGAATGCTGTGCACAAGAATGATAACTCTTCCCTGTACAATTTTTGAGTTATTGCCCTTTGTTCTTTTTCATACTATTTTGTCCAAAGTTTATCTCAAAAAGTATTTGAGGTATCAACTTGAAACTTCATAGGTGGATGGATCTCATTGAGGAAGAGTGCAGTGCACAAAAATGATAACTCTACCCTGCATAATTGTTTAGTTATTGCCCTTTTTTTATTTTTCAAAATTAATTTTTGTCCAGAGCATAACTCAAAAGGCCTTTGAGATATCAACATGAAACTTCATAGTCGATAGATCTAACTCAGGAGGTGTGCAGTGCACAAGAATGATAACTCTACCTTTTATAATTTTTGAGTTATTGCCCTTTGTTATTTTTCATACTTAATTTTTCAATTCAATTTTTTTCTCAAAAAGTATTTGAGGTATCAACTTGAAACTTCATAGGTGAATAGATTTTACTGAGGAGGGATGCAGCACACAAGAATGATAACCTACCCTGCATAATTTTTCAGTTATTGCCCTTTGTTATTTTCAGCCATCAGTATTCACATTGGTTTCAAATCTGTAATCACTATAGCCATCAGTTTTCATTATCAAAAGACCTCTGAAAATGGAACTATTCTGCTGTACTACATATACATTCTTCCAATGAGCAAACACATTCGGCGGGGTATGGCCATGTTGACATGGCTCTTGTTAGTTCAGATTTTATGTCAAAAACTTGTGTATTATATACATTTAAAAAATTTTAATCGGAGATAAATTTTGGCTATGAGATCTATAAGTGGAGCAAGGTTAGAAGACAAATGCCTCAGTTTATTATGCTTTCCGTCCGTCCGTCCCCTTTCCTTGTCCGTGACATAACTTTGAAACAACAACTTCAAGAGGTATCAACATGAAACTTTGTCTTACCATCCTATTCATTTTCAATACTTCAGACCCAAAATTCTGTTAATTTTTTATCCTGATGAAGACCTCACGGTAGGTCGAAACCGGTAGATAATTAAATAATATAAACATCCCTGGTGTTGACGTGTAATTTTCTTCCTACTTTACCTTATCTTGATGAAACTTTGTAGGTAGATAGATCTCATTGAGTAGGTGTGCAGTGAACAAGAACCGTAACTCTGCCTTGCCTGATTTTTGAATTATCCCCCTTTGTTTATTTTTACACTTTGAACTTTGTCCAGGACATAACTCTAAAACTTTAAGAGGTATCAACATGAAACTTTGTAGGTAGATAGATCTCATTAAGTAGGTTTGCAGTGCACAAGAACTGTAACTCTGTCTTACCTACTTTTGGAGTTATTGTCCTTTGTTCATTTTGACACTTTGAACTTTGTCTGGGAAATTACTCTAATTTTTGAATTATCCCCCTTTGTTTATTTTTACACTTTGAACTTTGTCCAGGACATAACTCTAAAACTTTAAGAGGTATCAACATGAAACTTTGTAGATAGATCGGTCTCATTGGGTGGAAGTGCAGTGCTTAAGAATCATAACTCTGCCTTGCCTTATTTTGAAGTTATTGCCCTTTGTTTATTTTTACTTTTTGACTTTTGTCCGGGGCATAACTTTAAGACTATTAGAGATATCAACATGAAACTTTGTAGGTAGCTAGATATAATTGGATAGAACTGCAATGCTTAAGAACCTAAACAAAGCCTGGTCTAATTTTGGAGTTCTTGCCCTTTGTTCATTTTTACACTTGAATTTTACCCGGGACATAACTCTGATATCATCAGGAAACTTTATAGATAAATAGATCTCATTGAATAGAAGTGCAGTGCAAAAAAACATAATTCCGCCTTGCCTAATTTTGGAGTTTTTGGCCTTTGTTCATTTTTTTTATACTTTCCTGTGTCCAGAACCTTCTCGGGGAGCATCACCCGGTTCAACCAGTTCTTGTTAAATTATTGTTACCGAACAAGTGAAAAACAATTAGCATTCTTTAAATGTGTCTTTAGTTTTTTGGTTATGAGTATGGGTAAGGAAAGAACTCTATTGCTTGATGAAACTCTGCACCGGTTGATTATCAATTAAAATTCACTTTTAGTGATCAGCATTCTGTATTAATTTGCATCTTTACAGCATTTAAGGAAAACACTTAATTAGGTCGTTGAATAACCAGTTACCACATTTATATAATAAAACTACAATACTTAAACATATCTCTACACAAGAAGACATTTTAATCAGGTTTGTAAGATTTATAAGAGACCTATTAAAGCGAATTCTTTTTAAACAGGTTGAAGCGGAGGAAGACGAAGATGAAACCCCCGCCATGGAACCAGACTCTCCTGATGCTGTAACTGCTTCTGCAGCTAGTGGGGCCACTCCTAGTGTGCTAGCTGGTGCGACAGGGGTCACAGCCGGCAGGGGAGGGGGAAGAGGGGTGGTATTTGGACGGAGGGCTGGGGCAGGGAGGTCACCTGACAGAGCGAGACGAGGAGGTCTAGCGAGGTAAATCATGAAAATGATACAGTGTAAAATTATTAACCATAGACTGGAAATATGTACATTTTCATGAATGAAAAGAATTGTCACAGACCTGTGTCCTCTATCTCAAAATTTTAATTTGAAATTTGATGATATCAGCTTGCAATAACCCCTGTGACAGCATTGCTGATTAGTTAACACGTCAGACTAGTAATCTAAGGATCTCTTGCCAAGTGGGTTCAAACCTTGTCAAGCAAGCTGTTTGTTTCTTTGAGTAAGAAACTTAACACACATTACTTAGTACTTGTTTGCTCCATGAAGGGATTCAAGAGTATAACTGTAAGCTTACAGCTTCCTACAAAATGGATGTATTAAAAGTAAATTGTTTATAAATTATAAAAACCTGAAAAGGAATACATATAAATATCATTTAGAATCCTTGAATACATAATTCAACAAATAACAGTTTTCAGGGTGTCCGTTTGACCCTTGAAATGACTCTTTGACCCTTCAAATTTCCTAAGGGCTGGATCTGACAATCAGGATTTTAACATTATAACAATGCAATGACACTGTTGTCAGATAGAGGAGTCCAGATCCTTCTTCCTGTACTGTTTGAGTTGAACATATTTCCTTTTGAAAGTTTGCTGCCAAATATAAATACATAGTTACATCATATTATTCAAATAAAACTCTTTTATGGGGAATCTTGATTTTAATATAACACCATTTCTTATAAGGTCACCAGAGAGAGCGGTGAACAGGGCTAGAAGACAAGTACAAGCTTCTACAGAGGAAAGTGAAGGTAGCGCCCCATCCGATCCTCCTGCTCTTGACCAACTTCCAGGTGTCCGGCTCAATCCTGCGTTCAGACCAGCCCAAGGGCATGCAAATCGTAGAAGAATTGTGCTTCACAACACCAGTCCTCCAGAACAAGCCGACAATCCTCAGCCAATTGCGAGGCCAATAGGGGCAATGAGGCCCATATTAGGGGAAAGAGAACGTAATATACTTAATATTTATTATAATTTATTGATATAATTTCTTAGTTATTTTTTTTTTAAGTACATCCTATTTGTAAATTCGAAAGATCTTTTGGTATGTCATAATGTGGACTTTGTTAGTTGGTGTCTAAAGTTACATCTGTCTATAGAAAATTATGCTGAGATTTTAGTGAAAGATTAACAGCTTATTTTAGTGAAGATTAACAGATTATTTTAGTGAAAAATTAACAGCTTATTTTGGTAAAAGATTAATAGCTTATTTGGGGTGTCCATGGCCGAGTGGTTAAGGTCATGACTTCAAACCACTTGCCCCACATTGCTGTAGGTTCGAATCCCGACAGGGACTTTGGATTCTTTCATGTGAGAAAGCTATCCACCTAGCTTACGGAACATCGGTGGTTCTACTCAGGTGCCTGTTCGCACCTGAAATAATGCACAGAAAAGACACCTGAGGTCTTCCTCCACCAGTAAAGTTGGGACTTCGCCAAATGACCTATACCGTGTCGGTGTAATGTAAAACCTAATCAAACAAACAACAACTTATTTTATGTTAAGTATCCATTTATATGAGACTTTATAAACATTTATCTTTTTTGCTAACAGTGAAGACCCTTGTATTATGTTGGTATATATATTTTTCAGCAACATTGAGCCTTCCAGACAATGAGTATGATCCAGACTTTATGGTGCTGGATCTAGGAGCCAATGAGAGACAGAGGGAGGCCAACTTTATCAACATGACTGTAAGTTAATTGTTGGATATCAGCAAAACTATTCTACCCTGTTCTTCAAGGTTCAGTAACAAATCCATGTTAAAGGCCCATTATGCCCTAAAAATGCATTTGTTGTTGTTTTTAGCTCACCTGTCACAAAGTGACAGGGTGACTGTGAGCTTTTGTGATCGCTTTTCGTCCGGCGTCCGTCCATCTGTCATCCGTAAACTTTTACTTAAAATGACATCTCCTCATAAACAGCTGAGCCAATTTCATCCAAACTTCACATGAATGTTCCTTTGGTGGTCACCTTTAAAAATTGTTCAAAGAATTTAATTCCATGCAGAAATCTGGTTGCCATGGCAACCGATGGAAAAAACTTAAAATATCTTCTTTTAAAAAACCCAAAAAGGTAGAGCTTAGATATTTGGCATTAAAAATCTTCTAGAGAGTGTCTATCAAGTTTGTTCAAATAAAAGCCCTAGGGGTCAAAATTGGCCCCGCCCCGGGGGTCATTGATTTTCCCTATATACATATTGTAAAAACTTAAAAATCTTCTTTTAAAGATCCCAAAGAGCTAGAGCTAAGATATTTAGCATGAAACAGCTTCAAATGAGTGTCTATCAAGTTTGTTCAAATAAAAGCCCTGGGGTCAAAATTGGCCCTGCCCCAAGGGGTCATTGATTTCCCTATATGCATATAGTAAAAACTTATAAAATCTTCTTTTAAAGAACCCATAGAGCTAGAGCTAAGATATTTAGCATTAAACATCTTCTAATGGGTGTCTACCAAGTTTGTTCAAACAAAAGCCCTGGGGTCAAAATTGGCCCTGCCCCTTTGAGTCATTGATTTTCCCTATATTCATATGGTAAAAACTTTTAAAATCTTCTTTTAAATAACCCAAATAGCTAAAGCTAAGATTTTGAGCATGAAACATCTTCTAATGGAGGTCTACCAAGTTTGTTCAAATAAAAGCCCTTGGGTCAAAATTGGCCCCGCCCGGGGGGTCATTGATTTTATTTTATGTGTATAGGAAAAACTTAGAAAAATCTTCTTTGAAAAAAAACCCAAATAGCTAGAGTTTAGATATTAACCAAGACACATCTTCTAGCGAGTGTCTTCAAAGTTGTTCAAATAAAAGCCCTTGGGTCAAAACTGGCCCGCCTCGGGGGTGTCATTGCTTTTAACTATGTGTGTATAGTTCAAACTTAAAAAATCTTTTTTTTAAAAACTCAGCGAGCTAGACCTTAGATGTTTAGCATGAAACATCTTCTAATCGGTGTCTACCAAGTTTATTCAAATAAAAGCCCTGGGGTTTAAACCTATATACAGGTGAGCGACTTCAGGGCCATCATGGCCCTCTTGTTTTTTCTTCTTAAAGCTTTTAGATTTTGGTGCACTTTTAACATAACCAAAAATGTTACTCATTTGGCAATTTTCCGAATAATATTTTCATCTTTTGGCAATAAGTACAGGTGTAGTGAATTTTATTTTGTATGGAAGTCAAAATACTGCTTTGTTTTCATTTTGCTGCTTTGATTTATAACATTTCACATTTATCCCTACTTTTTCAGGTACACAAGCATCTAACATTTCTCTATAACCATTATTTCTTAACATTAGAAAGTTCATGTTTGCCTTATTTAAAGAAGTAAAAATTTATTTGTTCTGAGGCATAATGTGCCTTTAACCATTATGATAATGTGATGATTATCATGATATGCTCCCTGTTGCGAGTATGCAAGTATATACGACAGCTAAGCCTGCTGGAAGCAACTTATTCTAGAAATCCATACGACCAGTGCCGACCAAGATCAGTCGGCACATCTGGGCCATGTGATCATAGTCTGCACTGTTTGCTTTTCAGTTGCTCTTCAGTAATTTTTGTAATTTTTCCTGACATTGATGACTGCATTTGTCCAATAATTTGAAAGATGGACAAGGCTATTTAAGATATTTAGGGTGGTAACAGTTAACTTACAGATTTTTCAAGAGATATTTAACAAGTTTGTGGCTTTTAGTTCTTTATAGTTGTTAATATCCACTGAAAGAAGACTTATTTTGAGAAAGAAAAAAATTGAATTGAATAATTATTATTAAGAAAAATTCTAAATTTATTTTTGCTGCTAGTGCTGTTTCATACAAGAAGACCAATTATTTTTCTTTCAGCGAGACCCGTTTCTGCTAATGTTGCTATTGATGGGCCGTGATCCAGGATTATTGATTCCAGATGATGTTGACTTAGGTGATTATGAAGCATTATGGGGATTAGCAGAAAGGCTTGGGGAAGTGCGTAGTCGGGGGATGAAGGAGGAGGAAATTAACAAATTACCAACACGAACGTATCGTCGTAAAGGCGTAGGTAAAGGCACGGAGGAAACATGCAGTATATGTATGTCAGAGTACAAAATGGCCGAAAATGTTCAAATGTTGCCTTGCCAACATGAATATCATAAAGATTGTTTACTAGAGTGGCTAAAAGTAAGTATAATTTTACATTATTTTCTTAATATTGAATTTTTATGTAGCTTTTGTTGAAATTATCTCTTTCAAAATAATGTTCATGCATGTTCAAGCTAATTTAGAATTGCCATTTGAAAAAACGTGAGATCATTTGCCTGCAGAAATATCACTTTTAAAGCAGCATGCCTCCAGATTCCTCCCAATTTTCATGAAAATAATGAAAAAGAATTGATATGTTAAGTATTGTGAAGTGGACAAAGAAAATAATTAACACATTACAAACAGATCTTACAACCAATTTACTAGAGGTCCAATAGCCCTAACTGTGTTAGTAATGCAGTAGACATATGGTGAATTAGTACTGCAAGATAATTTAAACCTTTTAGTTTTACATTTTTCTCAAGTTTGGTTTTCTTGAAATATTTGGCTCATCTGGAGGCATGCAGCTTTAAGAAGTTGAGTCTGTTAACTGCAAGGGATTAAACTTTGAGTTCAATATAAGTACCTAAGTGAAGTTATTTAAAACTCAACTTTATAAAGATAAGAAAATAAATAATTATAACAATATTCTTGAAACAGATAAATAGGAAGACTCTGTTTCTTGATACATCACATGTACATATTATCAGTATTTTACTAGCATCTTGCCAGACTACTTTTTTCAAATTTAGACAACAAATAAATAAAAAGTTTTTATTGTGATAATACATATTATCCAGATTTTCACTGGTGTCTTGAAGGACAACTTTCTTCTATATTCAGCCTGTATGCAATAAATAAATTAATAAAAAGACTGAAAATATTCTACATATCTTTGCATTAATAGTTTTTGTCTTCTTTACAGAGAAATGCTACATGTCCAATATGCAGACATGATGTAAAGAAAACACCTAATACCACTAGCTAAAAAGAAGTAAATATAGTGATAATTATAAATAATAATAATAAATAGTGTATGTGATAACATTGCTGGCTCAATGTATTTATAGAAGAAAAAATAAATCAGCTATTCCAGTTTACCAGAATTTAAAAATGACATCAAATCAGTGAACCAGTCAGAGAACAAGACTACCAATTTTCAAAAAAATCAGACTGGTTTACTGATATAAATAATTTGATTTTTTCATAAGAGCAATGAACAATTTCTATATTTTTGAAAGTGGAAATAATGTGTTCTTTCAAAGACAATGTTTTTGACAGTTGTTGTATTATTAAAAGGACTCCACAGAGGTTTTTAATTTAAAATGATGGAACTGAAAATGTTGTTTTTGTGATTTTAATTACATTTGAAATAGGTCTAAACCAATAAAAAAAAATCAGATCAATTTGCAGAAATTTTGCAAAATAATTATTTTATATTGTGCAAAGTGACATATAAATAAAAAAGGTTTAAATGTTTTTAAACTTAAATTAGACATCACATCACACTAGATATTGATCTTCAGTTTAATACTGAGTATACTATTCATCATGTTTTTCATACTGTTCTGTTTCAAGTGCCCCAGTCCGTACACATGTACATGAACATTTTTTCAAATTCTCTGTTTTCAAACCTTTGGACCTCAGTGGAGTCCTTTTAACCTTTCAAAACTATGCCTTACTATGTTTGAATTATTGTATTTAAAAATTATTTGTTATATTTAGTTTTGCACCAGAACAACTGTACAATATACACAATTTACTATGAAGCACTTTTAATTGCTGTGATTTAGTTATGTAAATTTGAATTGTTAAATGTTCTGTCATCTGTGCCAAAGGTAGTTAGAATGGTTTCAAAGTTTGTGATAATCTTTTTAACCTTTACCGTGCTGGTGTCGACTTAATCTAATCATTCAACCAGTACAGTCATGGTCTGCACTGTTGCTTATTTAGTGAGAACATATTTTGAAAATTTACCTAAAAATAATGAATAGTTTATTTCGGACTGAAAATTGGACTAGTTCATTTTAGATATTAGGACCCCGGTCTTATAAGTGGTCTGACTTATAGGTGAGTTAAGGGGCTACTTAATCTGCTGGGACAGAAAGTGACCAGCCTTTGTCAACAGTATAGAGCAAGTTTGAACATCCATGCAGTCAGACCTGTTTGGAGCGCAGTTTTATACTTTGGAACTGAAATCCCAAAACATTAAAGTGGATTTTTTCCAAATTCAAATGCATTTTTCCAAATTTAAATGTTTTTTTTCCAAATTTAAATATATTTATTTTTCAAATTTACATGGATTTTTCCAATGTTAAATATATTGGATTTTTCCCAATTTACATGGATTTCCTCAAATTTAAATGATTTTTTTCCCCAAATTTACATGGAATTTCCCAAATTTAAATGGATTTTCCCAAATTTAAAGCAGGGCAAATCCATTTTTCAAACTCTGCAGGTTTAGAGTTAAAGTGCTATGGGTTAATAACTATACAAGAAGGGTATGTTATGTGAAGGATTTGATTCTGTACTTTGTTTTTTTTAAAAAGAGTTTAAAAACAGGAAATGAATATGCAAAAAGTCAAAATAGATGTTGAATAGATGTTAATGTACCAGAAATTATGTTGATTATAGGAAATATATCATAAGGTCAGAGTATAGAGGAGATATTAATAGGCCACATTACCTTTTATTACATTGTATCCGTCCAAATAACTGTTACATATCAAAAGGTATACAAATTGTCTCAACAACCATATATAGATAGAAGCTGCTGTGATAAAGATTGTTTTTTAGCTGTTTTGTTAAAGAGGCTGTCATAAAACATTTTTGTTGTTATATATTTATAGGATATATTTTCACTTATACATGTAGAAGATGTTAATGATTTAATCAATATACATATACTAGTATAATATCAAGAAACAAGCTACAATTACATGGACATTCAGTAATTATTTATTGCTTACATTGCGGCTATATGTCTTCATCAGTGCAAAACATAATAAAATTACCAGAGGCAATTTCATTACTGAACACGCGTTAAAATGTTAAAAAAAATTAGATACCATGCAGTAACAAATATTTATGTTATGAATAAAGCTTATACATGAATTAATTTTTAGCTCGACTATACGAAGTATATGGAGAGCTGTCCTACTCGCCCCGGCGTCGGCGTCCGCGTCCGCGTCCAGATTTTAGATTAAAGTTTTGGTGCAGTAAAATATTTTTCACTATAACTTTGTCATTTCTTAAGGTATGAACTTCAAACTTCAAATATATGTTCCTTATCATCAACCACATCTTATGTGACAAGGTTCATAACTCTAGCACCAATATTTTCAGATTTATCTCCCCTTGAACTTAGAATTTTCCTTAAAAAATACTATTTTTTACTGATACTTCTTTATTTCTTAAGGGATCAACCTCATACTTCAAATATATGTACCTTATCATCATTCCCATCTTATGTGACAAGGTTCATAACTCCAGCACCAATATTTTCAGATTTATCTCCCCTTGAACTTAGAATTTTCCTCAAAAAATATTATTTCTTACGGTTTCTTCTTTATTTCTTAAGGGATCAACTTCATACTTCAAATATATTTACGTTATCATCATCCCCATCTTATATGACAAGGTTCATAACTCTAGCACCAATATTTACAGATTTATCTCCCTTTGAACTTAGAATTTTCCATACAAAATATTATTTTTACTGTAACTTATTTATTTCTAAAGGGATCAACTTCATACTTCAAATATATTTACGTTTTCATCATCCACATCTTATGTGACAAGGTTCATAACTCTAGCACCAATATTGCAAGAATTATCTCCCCATAAACTTAGATTTATTTACTAGAAAAATGTTATTTTTTATTTTAACTTTTTTATTTTAAAAGGTATCTACCTCAAACTTCAAATACTTATTCCTTATCATCAATTACATTTTATGTGACAATGTTCATAACTCTTGAAGCAATATTTACAGATTTATCTCTCTTTGAACTTTGGATTTTCTTTAAGAAATATAATAACTTCTTTATTTTTTAAGGTATTTACTTCAAACTTCAAATATATATTTCTTATCATTACACAAATGTTGTGTGGCAAGGTCCATAACTCTAGCATGACTATTTCTAGAATTATTCCCCTTGATCTTGGAATTTATGTTAACAAATGTTATTTTTTTACTATAACTTTATACATAATTATACATAATTGATTTTTCTTTCATAGTTTTGTCCTCCTTACTGCATCCAGTATTTTATTAGTCGAGCTTTGCTGTCTCCTGTGACAGCTCTTGTTTATATACCAGTTTGTTATTTATGGGAGTGTAAATTTTATTTGTTTTTTTCTTCACATACAGTCATTATTTATGTCTCAGAGTGCCTCTATCAGCACGAAATGTTCAATATTATTTCATTTAACCTACTGAATCTGTGTAATAGATTTTACAACCATGCTTTGAATTTGGAACAGTCCATTTAAATTTAAGACACATTTTGTCTCAGAAACGAATAATTTTTCAGAATAGGCAAACATGAATTGTTTTAACATTTAAATAATGATTTTAGAGTAAATTTATTGCTTTTATAACCTGAAGAATGTAGCAATAAATGTAAAATAAATGTGTCAGAAAAGTAGCAAAATGGAAACTTAAAGTAGTATTTTGACTTCTGCACAAAATAATAAATTGCGATAACTGTACAAACTGCAAAAAAGAAGCAGATGAAAAAAATGGATAATGTAATTTGCCAATGAATATCTTTTTGGTTACTATAAAAATGCCCCAAAAAAGCTTTTGAGAAATAAAAATAAAAGCCATTCTGAGGCATAATGGGTCTTTAATAATATTTTGGGCTTTTGCTTTACTGATATACATTATCAACTAGCACAATTCCAAATTCAGATCAGGTCAAAATCTGTTACACATTAATATATTTAATAACAAGGTAAAGTGTGTTTATATTTCATGTCTTTTGAAGTTTTCCATGGGTACAAGTTTTCAGATATTTGCCTGAAGTTCAGGTTTTTTTCTACTCCTGAAAGCTCTCTTTTTTGTATAAAACTGATTGAAATAATACTAAATTCAGGATTTTCAGGTTTTCTGGTATTTTTAATTTGCACCCATGGACTTTTCTTTTATGATATTCCGAAAAAACATTTTTGGTTTTCATATTTTCAGTCACTATATTAGGATATGAATGTATTTGTGAATGTTTCATTATGCTGTTATGAATACTTATATATTATATAGGTATTTAGCACAATCATTATTACCAACACATTTCTTTGTAAACAAGTGGACTTTTTAAGGGTATTAACTTTTGTGGTTTTCAACATTTTATGTGTTCATAAAAAGATTAAATGAATAATGAGTTAATTTCTGAAAGTTACTATTGTTAAACAAATTACATATGTATATTATTATCATTTAAACATTAATTCTGTTTGATTTTAGTAAGAAGAAGGTAAACAAGCAAATTCTGTTTGATTTTAGTAAGAAGAAGGTAAACAAGCAAATTCTGTTTGATTTTAGTAAGAAGAAGGTAAACAAGCAAATGAAAATAATTGAAATATTTGAAAACATATTTATGATAAACTAATTTAAATGAAACAGAATTATGAATTAAATTTATTTTATACTTCTAAAAAAATTTTTTGGATCGTTGAATTTCTGTTGTCCGTCCACATTTGTTCGTAATTAACACTGTAGTGGTCACATTTTTGCCTCAATCATTATCAAACTTTGTCAGGATGCTTGTCTAGGTAATTGTTTGGATGAGTTCGAACATTGGTCATCTCGGATGAAAAAGTAGGTCACAGGAGCTAAAAATAGAACAATCTTGTTAACACTAATGGCTACTGTTTTTAGCTCACCTGAGCATATGCTCAGGGTGAGCTATTAGGATCACTCTTTGTCCGTCGTCTGTCGTCCGTGGTCCGTTGTCCGTTCACACTTTTAAAACGACATCTCCTCTGAAACCATAAGGCAGATCATAATGAAACTTAACAGGGATGTTCCTTGTGTGTTAACAAAGTTGTTCAAGGAATTCCATTCCATGCAGAACTCTGGTTGCCATGGCAACCAAAAGAAAAAACTTTGAATATCTTCTTTTAAAAAATCCTAAGAGCTAGAGCTTAGATATTTGGCTTGAAACATCTTCTAGTGAGTGTCTACCAAGTTTGTTCAAATAAAAGCCCTTGGATCAAAATTGGCCCAGTCCCAGGGGGTCATTGATTTTCCCTATATGCATATAGTAAAAACTTAAAAAATCTTCTTTTAAAGAACTCAAAGAGCTAGAGCTAAGATATTTAGCATGAAACATGTTCTAATGAATGTCTACCAAGTTTGTTTAAGTAAAAGCCCTGGGGTCAAAATTGGCCCCGCCCCGGGGGTCATTGATTTTCCTTATTATTATGTGTATAGCAAAAACTTAAAAAATCTTCTTTGAAAAAACCCAAATAGCTAGAGTTTAGATATTAAGCATGAAAGATCATCTAGTGAGTGTCTACAAAGTTTGTTCAAATAAAAGCCCTGGGGTCAAATTGGCCCGCCCCGGCAGGTCATTGATATTCCCCATATGCATATAGTAAAAACTTAAAAAATCTTCTTTGAAAAAACCCAAATAGCTAGAGTTTAGATATTAAGCATGAAAGATCATCTAGTGAGTGTCTACAAAGTTTGTTCAAATAAAAGCCCTGGGGTCAAAACTGGCCCCGCCCAGGGGTGTCATTGTTTTTAACTATATCTTTATAGTAAAAACTTAAAAATCTTCTTTTAAAAAACCCAATGAGCTAGAGCTTAGATGTTTAGCATGAAATATCTTCTTATGGATGTGTACCAAGTTTGTTCAAATAAAAGCCCTCATGTGAAAATTGGCCCTGCCGGGTGGGGGGGGCCGGGGTGAGGG